TAAACAAAATAGTAATAGTAGTAATAGTAGTAGTAGTAGCAACAGCAGCTGCTGCTGAAGCAGTAATAGTATGCAGCAGCAGTAATAGCAGTAGTAGCAGTAACAGTAATATCATCATCATCATCATCAGTACCTCGTCAAATGGTCTTCCAGCGATAAAACTTCGAGATTATTTTATATACATGCTCTGCTCGTATCCTGTGAAGTTTTTAATCCGAGTTTTTGATAGAAAACCAACAATATCATTATCAGTATTATTGTTATCATATATATTCTTATTATTATTATTAATATTATTATTTGTTATTGTTATAATTTGTCATTATTATCATTATTAACTATCTCAATATCAATTAAAAACTAATTTAAATAAACAACCAACCAATTCATCTACACACATATTTCTTACCATTACAAACGCACATAAGATGAATAAAATTAGAAATACATGTTTCCATTTGATGTCACTGAGAACATAATAATATCAGTGGATAACTGCTTGCATATCGTATATATATATATATATATATATATATATATATATATATGGCATTTCTATATGTGTGGTAAGTATATTATATATATATATATATATATTTATATATAAAGTCTTTAAGTATATGTGGGTATATTTATAAACACTTATATATACACATGTGTGCGTATTTAAAATACAACTAAATAAACTTATTATTATAACGACATAATAATTATAATTTATTATCATATTAATATATTTTATTATTATGATTTAAGGAATGAAATTAGTAATGGAGAATGTTAAATTGACATTTTTGGAATTTAATTTATTTGTGTGTGAGTTTGTGTGTGTGTTTGTTTGTGTGTGTGTGTGTGTTTGTGTGTATTTTTTGTATAAGTCTATAAATGTTGTAACATTAATATCATGTAGATGCTTCTTAATAATTACATGCATCTATTTAAGCACGTTTGTATGTTCATGTTTGTATGCCAGCATGTATGCATACATTAATTTGTATGTCAGTGTGTTTGTTTATATGTACGAATATGTGTATAAACGAAGGCATACGCAAAGCACATGCGTATGTGCGTGTATATGTGAATGTTTGTGTATGTGTGTATATGTGTGAACGTGTGTACCTATGAGTATGCGTGTATGTATGTGTGCGTGTATGTAGGTATGTATGTGTGTGAATTGGTTATTTGACGTTAATGTGATCGTACTTACTGTAGAAATACTCATCTATATATGTACGTAAAATGTGATATAAGCAACACTCAAATTCGAACGTTTATTTTCTGCACATACACGCACACACCCACACACACGTACACGTACACACACACACCCACACACATATACACATACACATACACACACACATACACACACTCTGACGTACGACTCTGACGTACAGTTACAGTTTTTTGGAAGGGCCTGTCGGTGTGAAAGGTAGGTCCTCTGGCACCCCTTCGTGTAATATATTATGATGGTAAAACTATATTATCTGCAATAAATTACGAACATAATAATAATAATAATAATAATAATATTATTATTATTAATAACGATAATTAAATCATCGATGTTTATTTTAGTTTAAAAAAAACTCAC